TAGACACCGTGCATCTTTCCATCAATAGTAACACCATTTGTTATCATGCCTTATGATTTAGTGAGTACTTTTGCTTGGTAATTTGTATAAACACGGAAAAATAAGTATTACAGAAACGTGAGAATCACAATATTAACATTATTTCCTATGGTATAATTATTACTTTTAATTGTCATTATCCCATCACTTTTATCATCATAAAGATCCTCAAAGTTGGCTCAAAGTAGTTCTTATCTTGTGATGTGTCCCTGGTAGGACAAACAAGTTCAGACTTACAATGGGGCTCTGCTGCATAGTTCATAGGTAAGGAAACAGGGCCTGAGCAAATTGTCCGTGCCATAGAGCTGGTGTCCAACCAAGTTGGTGTTGAATCCTCTTAGTCTTCTTATGGAAATTCAGGTGGTTGGGCTTTGTTAACATGAAGGAAACTCTTCTCTCTGTTACACATGTTTCAATGGTGTGTTGTTGTGATCATGGTCCCCTATCTGAAAGAAAGCAGCATGACCTGGACCTTCTAAGCACTGGCTCCTACAACAAATTACCAGCTTGGGGGATACACATTTGCTCCATAGCCTTCTGCTTCTGTCCAACCAAAATTCATACCCCTAATATAATCTTTCTATTCTGAGCATCCCCCAGAACCTTAACTCTTTCCAGCATCAACTCTAAAGTCTCCTCTGAATAACAACCAGATCAGAGATGAGCAAGATTCCATTGTGACTCATCCTGAGGCAAAATTCCTGTTGTGAACCTATGAAGCCTGCTGTTCTATCCTCTATTCATTACTGGCTTCCAAAGCCACTTCCATATTTTTAAGTGTTTGTTATAACTGCACCCTACTCCCCAGTTCTAATTTCTAAACAGGGTGGTTTAGACTCTCTCTCTCTCTCTCTCTCTCTCTCTCTATATATATATATATATATATATATATATATATATATGACACAAACACTGAATTGAAGCACAGTCAATAGTAGACAGACTTCCAGGACATAACAAAATTCCACTGTGTAGTGCTTGTCAATTCACCTCATTGTCCTGAGCTTACCCATGCACCACAGAAAAACACTAAAGTAATATCTGTCTTCACATTTTTACACAAATTAGAAACAAGGGAGTTAAGGTAGCCATTCTAGTTGCCATTGTTGTAAACAATAGATAGTGACAATGGCAAATTTAGTTGCAAACAGTGGCTATTTCATTGTGCTCATGATTTCTGTGGAGTAGAGACTTCCATGAATACAGCAGAGTGGCTACTCTCTGCTTCTGGGTATCTGTGTCCTCTTATAGGAAGACTCCAGTGGCTGAGAGTGGGAATCTTTGGCATGCTTTTTCACTGAACTGGGTGGTGCCTGGCTGGAATGGCTCAGCTGGGGCATTCCCTGGGGATAGAAGATTGCTTCTCTGTGTGGACTGAGCCTGTTCCAGTTTGATGCTTGTGTTCCAAACCAAAGCATCTTGCAGAAAATCATGTCAGGGTAATCAGACAGAAGCTGGGAGGCCCTATATGGTCCAACCTTGGAGTCAAGAAGTTTTTACGAAAGCAGATATGATGGACTTCTTAAGATACTGTAGCACAACTGAAAATAATAAGAAACACTACTTAAACTACCATTTTTCTTTAACACTGGGTTATAACAACTCATCCCATACTATTTTTACTGTAAATTTGTACTTTAGCATAATAGTAGCCCAATATGTGTCTAAGTAGCTGTGCCTGGGGGATACAGGAAGAAATCTTCAGTTTACCCACTTCCTATGACAAATGTTAAGGTGTGTGCATGTGTGCAAAAGTCAATCTGGGATTTTTATTCACATAATGGTCTGTCTAACAGGCTTTGTGTATGTTTACCTGAGCATCATGGGGGGTAAAATACACCCACATGAGTCTTCTGTAGACATGTATTTTACCATCAATGGAATGTGGGTGTGACTCACAGTAGCTGCACCAGGGGAAAGCAAAAATCCATTTGTGCATTTACCCACTTGGCAGATGAATGGGAAGGTGTACACAGGGGGACCCAAAGCAGCAACAGGTGAATTTTACCCATGAAATGCTCATTGCTAATTTCTGTGCGCTTAGAATATATTTTTTTAAAAAAGTTTTCTTTTGATATTTCTGGTAGAAGTAGCCCCAATTCAGTACAATGTCACATGGAAAAACAGATTTACAAGTTTTAGAGGAGGTTGAAAATGAATCATCAGCTCATTCTTGCATAGATGATGAAGATGATAATGACTTTGACATTGGCCATGTGAGCCAAAGTTCCTGTGACAGTGAAATGGAGCAAGAATCAGCTGATACAGACAGGAAATGCAGACCTCCTTGATTGAGTTGAAGAAAACAGCAATGTGAGTATGTATTTGATGAGTAAAAATTGTACAAATCGGTCATGCAACCAAATGGAGCAGTCCAATGTTAGAAGTAGGTCTGAAAATATAGTGAAGATCTTGGCTGGGGTGAAACCTATTGGATGAAATGCTAGCACTGCCATTCAGTGTTGGAAATTTCTTATAACATACAAAATGCTACAAGATGTTGTAAAATGCACAAATGCTGAAATACAAATAAAATGTACCAGTCAGTAGCCATACTAAAAATTTGTTCATTATGATACCTCACTAAATGAAATGAAAGCATTCATAGGTCTGTGGTACATAGCAGTTTTCCACTGCAGGAATGTAAAAGACTTATGGAAAAGTGAGGGATGTGGGTTTGAGGTTTTTAGGGTAATGTTGACACTGAAGAGATTTAGTTTCCTTCAAAATTGCCAGAGGTTTGATGACAAAGCCGCCTGCCAAAAAAGAAAAAGAACTAATAATCTGGCAGCCATTCACTCATACTTTGAGAGATTTGTGGGTAACTGTCAAGCAATTTGCACCTGAATACATGACTGTTGATGCACATCTTACAGCATTTCATGGACATTGTAGCTTCAGGAAATATATTCTAAAACAACTTTCAAAATATGGCATAAAAATTAGTGCCTTTGTAGATGTAAAGACATTATGCTATTTATTTATTTTTAAATTTAGATTCATGTATTGAATAAATGTGATAAACAGATAAACAATGATATAACAAGTAACAGGCAAATATAAAATGTGGATTTCAGTTTTTTTAAAAAAATCTAAATTCTTGTTAATTAAGAAGAAAACACTGTTACTTTTCCAAAACACAGAACTGGATTTCAACAAAATGATTTAACAAAATAAGGCACAATGTTTAATAAGGCAAGATTTACACACAAGGTTGGTGTAAGGTTACAATGTTCCGTTACCTCCTGGGGGTTGAGGAAGAAGTACTAGAACTGAAGTAGCTTAAATATTCTTTTTAGAGCATTTACCAATATAAGGTGATGCATAAATTTGATACAATAAATTAAATCTAGAAAATAAAACAATTGTTGAATCATACCACTGAGTTACTTATTTTACCATTAAACTTTACTTAACTATGTATTTATAAAGATATTCCTAATTCGCACAGCTTTAAATATAGAAAATTAAGATACCAGATCCTACATAGTAATAAGAATACAATACATTTTCAATATCCTTTGTTGATACTTTAAAGTCTCAAACTTTATGAAAAGTTAAAATATTGAATATTTTAAAATTTTTTCCCATTATGATTTTGTTTCTTATGAACACAGAGTGGGTTCGGCACACAACTTCAACACAAGTCTCTACGTGACTGCCTTAGCCTTTCCGGTAACACAACAATGTTAACTACTTAAATTAGTGACAATTCTTCCACATTAATTTCAGACAGAACCAATTTGGTTAATGTTTTTGCAGTATTGGCAATAGTAATGTCAATCTTATCCCAGTTTCTTCCTTTAGCTGGAATTTTGAATAAAATAACTTTATCCAATTTTATTCTCAGCCAAAGGAATAGAATATGTTCTGCTCAATGCAGATGGTCTTTCTGCCATGACTTTCTGGCATGACAGTATAAAAATACTGTACATTTAACTAATAGATTTAATGTGTACTAGATTTTTTTTTTTTTGGTCTTTTTGAAACAGGGTCTTGTTATGCAGTTCAGGCTGGCCTTGAGCTCACTTTGTAGCCCAGGCTGTTCTCGAACTCACAAAGATCCTCCTGCCTCAGCCTCCCTAGTGCTGGGATTACAGACATGCCACCACCACACCTGGCTGTGTACTATATTGAATACTGTGCCTTACGTGCACTATTGAGACTGATCAATGCTAAGTGAGAGTCTAGTAGCACCTAAATTGACATTATCCTGTGAGTTATGCTTTCTATTTAGAAATATATCCTGGAACATAGACACCAGGTTCTTATTCCTATAGTAATATGCTAAATGCCATTGTGAACAGACTTGTTCCATGTCCCAAACTAATCAAAATGTGACATTTCACAGCTGGTTTACCAGTTTCCAATTTCTGTTACATTTGCTAACACAGAACAAGTTGACCAGTGCAGGAATTGTACACAGTAACAAAGCAGAAATTCTGAATATTATATTGCAATTTCAAAACAAAGAATTGGATAGTACAATTTTTGGATTTCAGAAAGATATAACATTGGCATCATATGTGGCAGAGAAAAACAAACTGGTATTGTTGATGTCAACATTGAACCATGATGGAAATATTGTTAGGGAAACCTCAACCAAACAGAAGCCTGAGCTGGAAACTTTGTACAACAAAACCGAAGGCAGAGGAGATGTTGTTAATGAGTTATGCAGTAATTATGACATCACTTGAAACACAAAGCATTGGCTAATGGTTGTATTTTACCCAATCCTAACCATGTGTGGCATAAATAGTTTGATAGTTTACAAATAAAATAATAAGTGCAAAATATCATGAAGTGTTCTTAAAATATTAGAACTGGAACTCATAACAGATCATTTACAGCACAGGAAAAATGAAATGTTTTTGCTCAGGGAACTATGCCAAAAAATTGTGGAGCACACTGGTGAGCTAATGACAGGTAAACAAACAGGCTCAGCATCACAAAGACCTACTATGACAACAGCAAACCAAGATGATGTCAACTGTGCTCTGCAGGAAAGGACAGGAAGACAAACCATCTGTACCATCAGTGTAAGTGATGCTTTTTTATGGAATATGCAATTTTCATGTGTGAAGACTGCCTTGGGTATGATAGTTGAAGAAAAGATGACTCCTGTGGCAGACTTTTGTTTGTACTTACATTGTAGTCCACATAGGTTTTTATTTCTGATGTTATCTTTTAAGTTTTTAAAGCAAGTAAACATCTGATGTGAAACTGTTGATGTCTATTTTAAGTAGTCATTACATATTTGATATTTTATTGATAACTTATTTTCCTGCTAAGTTCACATTATACAGTATAGTAGGAAGCTGTTGACAGAATGGGAATACAAAAAGGTGAAAAGAATGCCCTGCCACATAGGAAAGGAAACCTAAGCACATGTGCTATCAATGTGGAAATGTACATGGAGCATGAAGTTGTCATGTGTGAAAACTGCCTCGGATGTGACAATTGAAGCAAGGATTATTTTTGTTGTAGACTTCTATTGGTATTTTCATTGTAGTTCATATAGGCATTTATTTGTGATGTTATCTTTTAAGTTTTGTAAAAGTTCCCAACTGATGTGAAAATGTTGATGTTTATTCTAAATGTGCAATAGATATTAAGAATTTAACAGTTTATTTTATTGATATTTTATGTTCCTCTTAACTACACATTATATAATATTATAAGAACCTTCTGACAAAGCAGCAAGGCCAGCAAGATGTTAAGTATGTCCTACAAAAGGCCAGGAGAGTAAAAACACATGTGATGTCAGAGTAATGGACACATGTGTATGGAAAGTGATGCTGTCATGTGTGAAGACTTCTCTAGGTGTGATAATTGAAGTAAAGTTTTTTTGGTAAAGTCCTACTGGTACTTTCATTGAAGTTCACAAAGGAATTTCTTTCTTTTTTTTTTTGTTTTACACTTTGTACACCAAAAAACAGTCAATGTTGAAAATTTTGATGCTTTTTGTATGAACACTAAAATATTAAAAATTCAATAATTTATTTTTTGATTTTTTTCTGTTAAGTACTCATTTTTGATATAATAAAACTCATAAGATTAAAATTAATAGAAATATTCTAAAGAATAAACATAGGTGTTATACACCCACGATGTTGTGCCTTTATGACAAATTGGCATTATGCCCTGCAAGTTTTAAATATCTCTTATTTACAGATGGCAAGTGCCACATAATTTAAAACCTTTTAAAAAATTTACAAAGCATGACCAAGTACAGAAAAGTGCACACACATAAATATACCACTTAATAAACAGTCATTAAGCAAATCCATATGTAACTACAGGTCAAGAAATAAATAGAACTGCAGAGCCTGATTGCCTCATTTATAATCTTTTTTTATCCCCTAATCATGACCAGGAGGCTGATTTCTATGGTAATTGTTGTCTATGTTTTGTCTCATTTTGCATAAATGAAATGATATTGCATGTGCTCCTATGCTTATCAATATCAGGCCTGTGAACTCTACCCATGTGGTAAATGTACTTGTGGTTTTGTCATGTCATTTCTGGAGAATGTTCCTTTGTATGGATATCTATCTTACTGTTGGTAGATGTGGGCTGTATCTGGTAGCAAATAATGTTGTTATGCACATTCTTTAATACATATTTGTTGCTTTTGGCTGTGCATTTTTCTTAGATGTCATCTATAATACATGTTCAATATAAGAGTGACAAACTATTTTCCAAAGGGATAAGACAATCCACACTTCTAGAGGGGGTTCTGCTAGTCAACATCCTCACAATACTTGGACTGCAATCTTTATATTTTTACATTTTAGTTGTTATGCAGTGTTATTTGTATTTTTGATTAAAAATGAAGTTGATTATATTTTCACATTAATTGGCCATTTGGGTATATTTTCTGGTGAAATGTTTACTCTTCTTATTTTCCATTTTTCTATTTGGCTTGTCTTTTTCTTGCTGAGATACAGGTGTGTGTGTGTGTGTGTGTGTGTGTGTGTGTGTGTGTGTAATGGGTTAATAGGTAGATTGCCTTTATTCATTATATAATGATATATTTTCTCCTACCCTGTAGTTTGCCTCTTTACTTTCTTTTCCTTAATGGTATTTTTTGTGATTACTTTTGTATGCTGTATCCTTAACTAACATTATAACACATTGAGCATATTCACGTTGCATTAGCAGCTATGATTTGCTCATTTTATTGTTGCATAGTGTCTCCTTATTCATAATGCTAATCTTGTGTAATACACTTACAAAATAGTTTACTGAATGGTAGCTATGTTTTATAATCAGGTATGTGCTCTTTGCGTATACCAGTGTCTATAGAAACCTTACTGTATTATTCTCCTTAAGCTTTATTATTTTATGTTTCTGATTTATTTATTTATTTATTTATTTAGGTTTTTTTCTGGTACCAGGAATCGAACTCATGACCTTGCGCGTGCCAGGCAGATGCTGTGCCACTGAGCTAAATCCCCAGTCCCCTGTGTTTCTGATTTATATTAGGAATCAGAAAAGCAGAGCTATTCAGAAAAATCTAATTAATGACTTGATTTGTAAATAAAATTTTATGGGAACATTTTCACAGTCATTTGTTTACATACTGTCTATGGCTGCTCTTATTCTGCAACCCCAAAACTGAGTTGTTCAAAGAGAGGTTGAACAGGCTGTAAGCCTTAAGTATTTTCTTTACTTGTTGTTTTTTTAAAGAGAATAAAAAATAAAAAAATAAAAAATATAGACTTTCAAAACAAGATGTCCACTTATATAGTTGAGTGCTCCTGTATTTAGTGCATAGATATTTATGATTCTTGTTTTCCTCTTGCAGTGTTCCCCTAAGAAGTATGTAATGACCTTCTTTATCTCTTTTGATCATTCTTGGTTTAAAGTTCACACTGTCTGCAAACAGAATAGCTATTCCTGCTTTTTGCTGGGTTCCTGTCACATGGAGTATTGTTTTCCATCCTTGGACTTTCAGTGTGTGAATTTCCTTTTGAGTGAAATGTGATTCTTGTATATAGCATATTGTTGGATTTTGTTTCTTGATCCACTCTGCCAGTCTGTTTCTTTTGATTGGTGAATTAAGGCCATTTACATTTATGGCTATAACTGATATGTGTTGGCTTATATTTGTCATGTTATTTTCCTGCTTTTGGTTCCCTAACTTTCCCCTCTATTTAATTGCTTGCTCTACTTTGTGGTTCCTTTCTATTGTTGTTCTTGAAATTATGGTTATTTTTATGTCTTTGTAGAATATCTTTCGTACTCTTTATAGGGTTAGTTTCATAGTCATGAATTTCTTCAATTCATCATGAAAGTATCTTATTTTTCAATTAATTTTGAAAGATAGTTTTGTATGGTACATCAATATGGGTTGTAAGTTATTTTCTTTCAGGACCTGAAATACTTTGCTCAAAGCTGTTCTTGACTTGATGGTTTTTTGTTGAAAAGTGTCCCATGATTCTGATGGGCTTTCTTTTATGGGTGATCTGTTTCTTTTCTCCCACAGCTTTTAATATTCTATTCTTTTGCTGAATTTCTGAGATCTTGATTATTATATGTTTGGGTGTAGATTTGTTTTGGTTATGGCTAATTGGAGTTCTATATGCCTCAGTTACTGTATGCCATATTTTTTCCCCATGCTCCAAAATTTTGTTCTATTACTTCAGCAAATAGCTTTTTAATGTCATTTGTTTTGACTTCTCCTGTGTTTGCACACCTATCAGTCTTATATTGTTTTTCTTTGTATCATCTTGCAGCTGTTGAATTGTTACTTCCTGATTCCTTCCTTTTTTAAAGAGATCTTTCATTTCATGATTGCTAGCTGCAGTGCTATATTCAAGGTCTTAAAGTCTACCTTCATTTTTGTTCAAGCAGTTTTGACAGCTTTCAATGGAATTTTTAATTTCCTGGATATCTCTTTGAATGTGTTTCTTGCATGTGAATTCTTTCTTATTTTATTCATTCAATGTTTCCATCATTTTCTGTGCTCCTCTACTTTTTTGTCTTCTTTAGATATGCTGAGCAATTCTTTCACTATGGTTATCATTTCTTTTTTACCTAACAGCTTATTTTTGATCTGATTTATTCCATAGTTGATGGAGTTGTTTCTTTACTTCAGTTGCTATCATTTCAGAAATTTCAGATGTATGACTTCCCATTTTTTCTATGTCAATGTCTCCTGGATTTATTCTGAGATTGCATTTTGCTCTTTCCTCTTGACATTTTGTATTTCAAAAATATTTTAATTTTGTTTTCTGTGATGGTCCTTGCAAGTTTTGTTAGTAGGTAGCTATATCACTAATATCAAGGCCTTTCCAATAATCATCTGTACTTAGGGATCTCTTCTGTGTGTATGAGATTCTTGGTTTGTCCCAAGATCTTACCCTCCCAATTAATTGAGAGTGGGATGTTGTTTTTTGTTTGGCTCAGTCCTCAGTGTTTTGGTGTAGGGCTTTGGTGAGGTTAGGACCCCACAGCTTCCCAGTATTGGTACCTATGGGAGAACAACTGATCAGCACAGATATAACATCCTAGCTACAGTAGTACAATTAGCAATAATGATAGCATTAAGTACAACTTAGAAATTGACAAACTGTGGTACTATTGATTTTGTACTTTAAACCATAGGAGCCAAATCTGTAGTTATATAACAGAACTGATCATAAATTAAGAGTTTGTATGCAAAATATTTCCCCTTCAAGGGTGCATTTACCCTGGATTCCTCCAGACAAGATGATTGCCGTGTCACTTGCACTTCTTGTGCTGGATGCCTGACTTACATTGTAGGAGTATGGGCCAGGCACCAGAATTCTCCAGACTGAGACTCCCTGGATGGCAGAGGGGTATTGGGTAGGATTTCTCCCCTCCCACATGGCTCACCATGGTTCCCGAGGCTCACAGTCACTCCTGTGATGATGGCAGGGCTGGGGGTGGAGCTTCTCCCCTCCTGAGCAGCTCACCAAAGCAACTGAGGCTCCTCGTTGCTCCCACAGTGGTGGGGGTATGAGGGATGGGGTTTCTTCCCTATCTAGAAGCTCACTGATGATTTCAACCT